TTACCTTCAAGCCTTTAAGACCCCAGATGCTATATCTTTTGATAGCCGGGCACCATCAGCTTTCTTCACCACATTTGCTTATTCACCCTCTTTGTCTTCAGCGGTTGTGTCGGGAAAGTATTCTTGCATTGAGGGAGTACTAGAATGGAGGCCCAATGTCCTTCTGCTACCTTAATACTAAACCTATAAATATATGCACATAGATCTATTTCTTTTTAAGTCTTTATTGTGAATTGGGTGAAGGATTATGGAGCAAATCAATTGTCCATTCAATTCCCATACATTGTGCTTCAAGTCATTGACTTTAATCTCCACAATGCAAAATCCTTTATCCCACTTCCTACCCGTGTACTTGCGTATCCCATTTCCAGTCTTTCTTCTTCCCTAACCCTTCTGAACTTTATCTGAAATGCTGGATTATCCTAAGGATTACTTACCTCTTTAGTGTAATTGTTCCCTTGATCGACCTATTTGACCAGTAGTGAGATTCAGCTGGTTCGTAACAGCCAGAACTGATACCTAATTTTTGGTTGAGATTGGTGAACCAGCTGTTAGAATGGTACTTCTAATCAGGGTTCTCTCTAAGGTGGGTGGCTGGACAGCTGTCCAAGGTGGAGCTCACAAATTTACATTCCTTACTCTTTTTTTAATGTTCATCTATGCAACTGCATAATCTAAGTGTCCATAATAATGTTCATTCGTTCCATCGGTATAAAAATTAGACATAATTTTGCTTGTAATATTTATCTATTAATTTCATTAAAGTGGTTATACTTTTGATGAAATACATTTTTATTCCCTTGCATGTTATGTCAGTATATATATAAATATATAACATAAAGAGAAAAAATTGTCAAACAACCAGAGGGTAACATGCTGTCATTCATTTCAGCTTTGTGTTGTGCCCCCAAATTTTCACAAGATATTTGAGTCAATTATGCAATTTGTGAAAGTGTTCAAAGAGCTAAACAGATAGTCAGAACAATTGCTGTAAGTTCAGCAGAAATGGAAAGGAGGGATATTTTTCTTTCACAAAAGAGAAGTCGCTGGTTTCTAATAGTTCAAACACAATGACTAATGTCTATTTGGCCTAACTCTAAAGGAATGGAACCCTTCTCTTCCAGTGAAAATATGGTCAAGGATAAAACATACAGCCAGCGATGCTTGGATAAAAGCAAAGAGTATTGCAAGCCAGGATGCCAATCAAGAAGCAATATGGAAATATCTTAAGTAACAGTTTTATTTTTGTCAGGTATTATTTAATATTTTTTCATTAATATTTTAAAACTTTCTTACAACATAATCAAGTGTATTGTTCTTATTAACTGTGTGAAATCATAAACTACTTTTGGGTACATACTTTTTTTATACTTAAAATGGTCATTAGGGCAGAGAACTAGTTGTTAAATGATGTACACTCCACTCCTGTGTTTGACTGAGTTTGGTTCCTGGCCTGAAGTGTGACTAAGGGCCCTAGTCTTAGTCTCGATCTAGGCAGAAAACCTAGTCTTCAGTGGTTGCTTTCTCAAGGTAGATGGCCAGGTGAGCTTTCAAGGTGCCTTGGGTAAACTCAAACCATAAATATTTTCTTTAACAGCCACCTACTTAACCAATTTCATCACTGAGGGACTGTTATCCAATTATAAGGGCCGCATCTGAAGTTTGTTCCTAGTTTTAGTCCAGCAGTGCTAGACATGTATTAGCATACCATAAGTATTTGTTTGATGTATCAGCCTGTAACAAGTTACTTTAGGAAGGGCTTGAGGCTTAGATGGTACAGAAGGCTGGAACTGGAGGCATTGTTTTCAGATATTCAGTGCTCCCTCAAAGAACCAGGCCAAGAACCTTTTACACTCACTGGCTTTCATCTTGAGAACATCTTTGTAAAGATGGGATTGGCAATACAACCTATTCATTTTTAAATTCAAAGAAATGAAATATGTGTGATGTACTATATAAGCCTTCATCAGGACTCACCAAAGCAAGGACAATGAGCATCTCAGAAAGGGACAACATTGTGTGGGAAGGCAAACCTGGTTCAGAGCGTCAGAAAGGAGCGCGGGCATGGACCGAAGGCGCACTTGAGTAAGACAGTCCAGTGCTGCCCGGGTCACACTTTGTGGAAATGAAAATACGTACAAAACGAAAGGTAAATAATGCCTGAAATTAGTGTCTTTCACTTGCTCTTAAGACAATAGACAGAGATCTATAGAGGTGGCAATGATGGAGACTTTTAGAATAGGTGGCTTGGTTAAGTCCACAAATTTATGGTTTAATAATATGTGAACTCCCAGAACATCAGCAAATGATATCTGAAAACATGGATACCTTTTCCATGGAGGCAGAGAAGTGATGAGACTTAACAGGAATGGGCCTTCCATAGCTGTCAGTGGGAACTATGCTACACCACGAAGGACAAGGCAGCGGCTCGAGAAGAAACTGAGACCAGCATTTGTGTTTCTAGATACCAGCAGAAGCCTTCTCCTCTAAGATTTCATGTAGGCCTCTCCGGGTCATTGACTGAAGGTACGGAATTAAGGAACGCTCATCCATGAATAGGTATTAACAATGAGTGTAGTTTGGGAGAATATTTATTTGGGCAAGAGCACGGTAGGTATTATGCACTCTGTTAATTTTGTATACTTGTGTTTGGTGTCTTTAGTAGTACAAAAATATTTAAATCACAAGGTTGGTGATGTCTGGATGTTTTCATAATAGAATTCTTTAATAAAAATGAGTAAAAATCTTCAAAAGCCTACAAACCCTTTCCTAGGCATACTGAAGGTTGAGGCATGAGACTCCATAGGAAATGGAGCAAAACCTATTTTATTTTATTTATTTATTTATTTATATTTTTGCAAAACCTATTTTATATGAAACAAATTGAAATGCAAAGATTAGTTGAGACAAAAGCTTTAAAACAATTAGTCTTATTTGAAAAAAAAAGTTTTATTTGATATGAAAACTAGGTATTCCAGACACTCAGATATGGAGAGCAGGATTAGACCATATGCATGACCAAATCAAAGGGGAGCTTTAATTGGACATGAGAAAACACTGTCATAACATCTAGAAAGGTGGCAGTGTGCTCATATAATTACAGAGAAAATCATACTCTTAGTAAAGAGTTATGTGTTCAATGTCAAAGAAGTTAGTACATGATTAATTTGGAAATGGTTTCTGAGCCCAAATAAACTTGCAACAACATACTAAACACACGAATTGCAATCTTGCTAAGATTTTGATAGGAGATTCAGTTTGCATTTCCAACGCTCTGTCTTAGGATACGAAGCCTTGACATGACCACGTCCCAGTCAGCATATGCTCCTTCTAGAAGGCGAGATATCTCCGTTCCTGCTTCATAGCTTCGGCGGCCGTGAAGTAAGCGCCAGTTGTCAAAAGTAATCACATCACCTAGATTGAAGAGTTTTCAAGATGAATAGCAGGTGTTTAAATAAGTCCCATAGCTAGAAAATTGAACATATCAAATACCCCTGCTACTTGGTTTACATCCAAGCCAAACCAAAACCTGTGGGCAGAATAGAACTGCTCCTGTGGGTTTCGGAGGCTGCAAATCTTTAATGGGTGCAGACAGCCTCTTCTTTCTCAGCTCTCTAGCAGAGGGTTGGTAGTTTCAAACTGCTGACCATGTGGTTAGCAGCCCACCTCCTAACCCACTAAGCCACTAAGAACCCGTGGTTCACATCAGTAAACAGTATATTTATTTCTTCCCATCAAATGGTGCATTAGCTTTTTCACCGAAGTCAGCTCACTGGACACAGACTGCTTAAGACTTGATGGCATTTAAACTACACAGCTTGGTAGTACTTTTATAACTATCTTGTAAAACATATCAGTGTAAACCTTTTGCATTACTCCTATTGAGTTTTATTTATCTTTTAATTAGCCATGCCTCTTCCCAGTTTAACAGATTCAAATAATTATTAAAATAGTGACATTCTTAGGATACAGCATTTAATGTACTTTATTTCTAGCCTTCCAAAGGACCCTAAGAAGAGATTATTATGTCACTACTGTATCCACAGACTCCAAGAAGTTAAGGGATTTCCCCTAAACTACTAGAGTTCAGATTCTAATTCCTATCTTCTTGGAATTTTCTCCCATGAATTTTTCATCTGAGTATGTGACTGTATGATTTTGGATTTACAGAGGTTTCTAGTGCAACTTTATTAAACCAAAAAAGCTATTTAACATGTAATCACCAGTGGAAAGTCTTACTGTAGGCCAAGTCAACAGGAGAGAGGAATTGTTTTCTGGACTTGATACAAAAGAGTCAAGTTTGATGGTACTTTCTGGAGTAGAAATGATCCTAAAGCCGTATAAAGCTTTGTGATCTTTCATTTCAAGTAGCTGACATATTTCAAGTGCTATTTTATTTCTGGTAACACTATCTTGGCAAATAGGTTTGATAGAGAACCATTATGTACCTTTTAGTGAGAATTTATGGATCATTATTACTTGTTTGCCAGGATAAGCATTTTCTGGAAAGGCTTATTTTATATTGCCTTTATCAGGGTATATGGTATCCATCTGGCACATGAGATTTTTATCTGGTCCATCATTTTTCTTCCAAGTATTTATTATTTAGGTTGGAGTTTCTTAAATTCTAGTGTGCTTAAGGATGACCCTCGGTTAACTGGCAATTCTTCATGACTAATCTAAGTGTTGGTGGTTCAAGGCCTCTGAGCAACCAAAGAAAGGCCTGGCGACTTGCTTCTGTACAAAGTATTTTCAAGAATAGTTCTACTGTTTCACACATGGTTTGGAAATAGAGTTGACCTAACTACCTTTTCTTGTCAGAACGTATGGTTAAAAATGAGTATTTTTGAGTCTGGGGAGCCCAGGAATCTGCTTAGTTAATCAAGCCTCTTGTTTATCAACAACTTATCATAAGAATTTCACATGACATACTTTAGAAAAAAGAACTTCTGTGGATCTCACTTGTTACATTGATGAAAAACACATCGTCCCCCCATTTAAGAAAATGTATTCACTGACCCGGATGCATCTTGAAGGTGAACTTGAATTCTTTGCAGTTCATGAGAGCAACGAACTCCTTCAAAGCAGCATAAAATGGCTGTACCCTTTCTACAGGCACATCAAATATCGTGTCTCTGGTGGCATTATTGAAGTTGATGCGAACCACTTGGCCTTTATCATCTAACCTAATTTTTTAAAAGGAAACAAATGCATAATTCATAAAATATCTTTTTATATTTCACTAGATCAACTTATCTTGGAAGGTATTTCTGAATGACAGCATTAATGAATCTAAAACCATGTACAAAAGACATAAAGGTTACCTGTGATATGATTTACACATTCATTTTTTTCATTCACTCATTTAGCAGGCGATTTTTGAAATCTTACCAGAAGTGCCCCAAATTCAATTTAATTAGAAATAACTGTTACTAAGAGGTTCAATTAAAGTTGTGCTATGCTTAGTGAAATCCATTCATTCTTTGTGGGAATGCCATTATGATACTGCCTATTACATCACATATTATAAGGGTCTGCAGGCAATAAGTTGTTTTTGATTTCAGAAATATTTTTAATTTTGTAACTGATAATGCTCCCTCTTTGCTTTGGTATCTAAAAGCTCAGAGCTACAATTGAAATCCGTCAAGAGTACATGTCCTGAATTTTATGTGAATTGTAGCTATTGTTGTTAGGTGCTCTTGAACAGGCTCGCGTTAATCGTTTCCCACTTACAGCAGGATGCACACTGTCGGCCCTGTGCCATCCTCACAGTGTTGTATATGTTGCAGCCGCCTTTGCTCCTATGCAACATTCTGGCTGTACTTCTAAGACAAATTGAATTTTTGTTTAGGAGATCCACAGTACTTTCAATATTCTTTGCCAACACCATAATCAAATTCATCTAAATCCATCTGCTGTCTTCCTTATTCATTTTCCAGCTTTTATAGACCCATGATTCAAAGTAACACAACGTGGGTCAAGTGCACCTTAGTCCTCAAAGTGGCAGCCTTCCTCTTGGATGCTTTAAAGAGGTCTTGGGCAGCATATTTCCCCCAGTGAAATACACTTGGTTTCTTGACTGCTGCTTCCACCTGCACTGATTGTGGCTATACGGAAAATGAAATTCTTGGCAACTTCAACCTTTCCTTTATTTATCATTGCTCTTTCTCCTACAGCACGCTCTACTTTTATTACTCTTTCTCTCAGCACTCTATTTTTCTGTTGGGTTCTAAAATTCATTGCAATAGCAAAACAGACTTCACTTATAATACTCATGATTATGAGGATTATTAGGAAAATTAACAGGTCAGTATTTAAATGCTAAATGCCCTGAATATAGTTGTTCTGTCAGGACTGCTTCTTTTCTTCCATGCCTATGGGCAGGTCTCTCTGGCTCTCAGCTGCATAGTCTGGCCTTGGCCCTGGATGGGCAGTGTTATGAAGCTCATCTAGGTCTGCCAATAAATGCCTAAAGGGCATGCTACTCCACTGTACACCTGAATTGGAAGGTACTCAGCTCCAGCTCTGTGGGTCAGCAAACCCATTTCCCTCACTGAGCTGCTCAGAGGGACCCCATTCCACAAGCCAGCTTCCCAATTCAAAGTGCTGAGCTTTTACTTGCTTTGTGGCCTGCAAAGTCCACAGCTCTGTCTCACACTCTGGCTCCTGGTTTCGCTATTGGTTTTTGGGTTTTTTTTGCTGTTCCTCCTCTGGTGTCAAAGATGTCTCCTGGATCAACAAGGTTCAGTGTGTAGGAATCTCTCATCCAAAGGTATGCTCCACTCTTGGCTCTTCTTATGCTGATAGTGAGATCTCCTTTTTCTGCTTCTGAGATGGCTCATTTCATGCCTAACAGAATGGCAACCACAATGAACCCTGTTAACAATCACTCACAGCTGAGTCATATAACCCAATCAATATGTAATTTAATATGGCCAGGGGAGTCATATCAAATCATTCATTGCAATCACGACAGTCTCTTGGTCCTATGTTAAGGATTTTTGGTTTCTTTACCTCAAGCTGAAGTCCATAATGAAAGCTACAGTCTTTGATCTTTATCAGCAAGTACTGCAAGTCCTCTTTGCTTTCAGCCAGCAAAGTTGTGCCATATACGTATGGCAGGTTGGCAATCAGCCTTCCTCCAAACCTGATGCCACATTCTCCTGGTTATAGTCCAGTGTCTTGGTTTATTTTCTCAACATGCAGATTGAATAAGTATGGTGAGAGGATGCAACTCTGATACACACCTTTCCTGATTTTAAGTCATGAAATATTCCCTTGTTCTTTTCAAATGACTGTCTGTTTACGAACAGGTTCCCCAAGAGAACAATGAAGGCTTCTGGATTTCCCACTCTTCGTGAGGTCATCTGTAGTTTGTTATGATCCACATAGTCTAAGGCCTTTGCATAGTAATAAACAACAAGTAATTATCTTTCTTGTATTCCCTGTTTTCAGCCATGACCTATCTAGGATCAGCAATGATATCCCTTGTGCCATGTTCTTTTCTGAATCTGGCTTGTGTTTCTGGCACCTCCCTTTCAATGCAGTGCTGCAACGGTTGTGGAATTATCTTCAGCAAAATTTGATTTGTTAAGGGATATAGTGATATTGTTTTATGATTTCTGCATTCTGTTGGGTTACCTTTATTGCTAGCTGACTCTATGCAAGTGATTTTGTTTTGCTTTTTATAATATTTGTTATACATTTTTTGAACCAATAATTATAGTAGGGACTGTCAGATGTCCCTACTCACCCTGTGTTTCTCTGTTACTAAAAGCACTTGAATGAAAAAAGTCACTGCAATTTGCTCAGCTATTTTACCGTTCCTACCCTCCCTTTCTCCATTGGAATGCAAGACAAACAAGGGTAGAGCTCCTTTGGTTGTTTGGTGACCAATGTTTCCCAGGCATCAGAAACAGTGACTGGCTTTAAAAATACTCATTAAGTGAATAAACGGAGATTATATGGGTACACGAGTAGGATGGATTCCTATACTGTGGACTTGATTACATACCAAATGAGTTATTTTCATATTATTTGGCTATTTCTTTTTTAAAAGAACATAAACTCAATTCTGAAATTGGAAGTGCTCCAAATTTTCATCAACTATGGTATAATTAAATAAGCTATGTTTTAGGAACACAATGTGAAATAATTATCAAGTAAAAGATCTTTGTGTCCTTTGTAAGTACTTGGAAACATTGTGACAGAAGAGTGTTAACTGGAAAAGATAGAATGTAAATTTTTAATGCATGGGATGCATACTTTAAGTTGGCTTACTATTTTTTATGGAGGTAATCTTATTTCCTTTCTGTTCACATGGTTCTGGTATAGCTGACCCTGCTTCAAAGGTCCAGAGATAAATATATAATCTAGGTTGGGTCAATTGGAATTATCTAAACTTTTGACTACAGTGATGGCTTCAAAGGTGGATATGGACCTAAATGTTTCTCTAGACTTGTATCAAGGCTATTGGAAAATTGGTGTTTTTCTTGTACTGTGATCATGAGCACTCAAGATGTGAACTTGAAGCTTCTATGACACGTTATTGAGAATGAATCCAACACAGAGAGGGATACAATCAAAAGGTAAAGGAACAAGCAGGCAATTTCAAGGGGCACAGAGTATCCTTTGGCCTTACCTCATCGGAGTTAGAGTCTTTCACTTCTGGCTAAAAAAATCCTGACTAATGCAATTACATTGATTACAACTATATATAACTTATTAAAAGATAAATGTAGAAAATATCTCTTTCTGTGAAAACTGCGTATGGATTTTATGGCACCTTTACTCTTAATTGCAAAAAAATGGAGGCGATTATGATGTCCTTTGACAGGTGAATGGGTAAACAAACTAGGTGCATCCATGCCACAGCACATTATACAATGATAAGAGGAAATAACCTACTGAACTAGGAAAATCATGTAGTTGTTGTTAGGTGCTCTCAGATTGGTTCCTGTGCATTGAGACCCTATGTTCAACCGAATGAAGCATTGTTGGGTCTTGTACCGTCTTCACAATTGTTATATTCAAGCCCGTTGTTGCAGCCACTGTGTTCATCCAGCTTTTCAAGAGCTTTCTCTGTTTCACTGCCCCTCGACTCTACTAAGCACAATATCCTTTTCCAGGACCTGGTCTCTCCTGATGATATGTCGAAAGTACCAAGTCTGGCCAGCATCCCTTCTAAGCAGCATTTTGGTTATACTTCTTCCAAGATAAATTTATTTCTTTTCTCGGCAGTGCATGGTACTTTCAAGATGATTCACCAGCACCATAATTTAAATACATCAATTCTTCTTCGGTTATTCTTATTCAATGTCCACCTATCACATGCACAAAAGGAGACTGAAAATACCATGGCTCAAGTCATACGGACCTTAGTCCTCAAAGTAGTACCCTTGCTTTTCCAATACTTTAAAGAAGTCTCATGCAGGATATTTACCCACTGCAATATGTTGTTTGATTTCTCGACTGATACTTCCACAAGTATTGCTTGTGGACCCAAGCAAGCTAAAATCCCTGACAACTTCCATCTTTTCTCTGCTTACCATGATGTTCCCCATTGGCTCCATTGTGAGGGTTTCTGAAGGCGGAGCTCTTTCAGTCCGTTGGCCAGGTAGCTATTGTCTACATTTTGGGGTAAAGATGAATGAGTACTTCCAGTGCTTCATCATCTTGTTGGAACACTTCAATTGGTATTCTGTAAATTCTTGAATTCTTGATTTGGCTAATGACTTCAGTGAAGCTTGGATTTCTTCCATCAGCATCATTGGTTCCTGTTCATATGCTACCTATTGAAATGGTTGAATGTCAAGTATTTCTAGTACAGTGACTCTGTGTATTCTTTCCATCTGTTTTTGATGCTTCCTGGGTATATCCATAGTTTACCTATAGATTCTTCCAATATTGCATCTTGAGGCTTTAATATTTTTCTTCAGTTCTTTCAGTTTAAATATACTGACTTTATTCTCCCTTTTGACTTTCTAATTTCATTATAATACTTGTCTTCTCAAGTTGCCCTTTTACATTTTCTGCTCAGTTCTTTGACTTCATCACTTTTTCCATATGCCTTAGCTACTCTACAATTAAAAACTAGTTTCAGAATCTGTTTTGATATCCACTAGGATGTTTCCTACTTTCCTTTCTTTTTAATGACATTTTGCTTTTTTAATGAATGATGCTCTTGATGTCTGCCCACAGCTCATCATGCCTTCTGTCATTAGTGTTCAATGCAGAAAATCTGTTCTTGAAAACGAGATTTGGATATACTCTTGGTTACACTCGTGGACTTGTTTTAGTTTTCTTCTGCTTCAACCTGAACACATATATACACAAATATTTGCAGCTGTTTCTTCTAATGTTGAGCCATGACCCATTAGCAAATGAAGGTCCTGAAAGCTTTACTCCATCCATGTCATTATGGTCGACTACTTTGAGAAGGCGGCTCTTCCTAAGTCATAATATGAATGCCTTCCAGCCTGAAGGACTCATCTTCTGACACTCTATCTAACATTATTCTGCTGCTATTCAGAACGTTTTCAGTAAGTGACAATGCTTCACTGCTGTCCATAAAGTTTTTTGTGGCTAATTTCTCCAAAGTGGACAGCCTATTTTTGCTTCACAGTCTGTTCTCAGTCTGCCAGCTCTGATGGGACCTACTGAATTTGGATGCCTCTGAGAGGACTTGAAATCAGTGACATAACTTCCAGCAGCACAGGTACAGGCAAGCCACCATAGTATGACTAACTGACAGCTAAATGGTGGACGAACCCTAAGTGCATATTGCCAAGAGAAAGAAATCAGTCTGAGAAAATATAACATAATGTATGATTTCTCTTATATGGCAATATGGAAAGACAGAACTAAAGAGACATCACAAACGACCAGTGGTTGTCACCAGTGAAGAAGGAACATGGAAGGGAAGGAGGATGAGGACATGCATGGGGCATTTTGGGGCGTGGTGATACAATTACATGTGATATATAATGCTGGACATGACAAGACATAGGCTTGTTAAAACCATAGCACTGTACAACATAAAGAATTAACTGAGTGTAATCTATGAACTTTAGTTAATAGTGATATAACTTGGTTTATCTAGTGTAGCAAACACTCCACAAGAATGACATATAGTCAAATTAGGAACAAATATGTAGCCGGGTGAGGGCATCTAGGGGAACTTTCTGCATACCACACAATTTGCTTGTAAATGCCTCTTAAAAAAAGTCTAGTAAAAATAAAGGTTTTTAGGTCTTGTGACTTCTCTTATGTTGAGAGAGGTCAGGGCAGCCATGTAATGTGATCAAGAATGATTTTATAATGAAAATTTCTTTTTCTCATTCACTCTAAAATTAGATTTAAGAATCAATGAATTATAGCAGCACTCTGGGCTTAATCAAAGCTCTCTCCTGTGTAAGCATTAGGTTAATGAAATTATTTTGTCAGTATTTGCATGGCATTTTTATTGGTAGGATACATTTATCCTTACTCTATAATTTTGTGCTTTGATTGTACGGAGAAATCACAGTAATCTACTCCAAGGTCGGTAAAATCCACAAAGGTGGAGGACAAAATCCGGAAAGCCTGCGGATTTCTTTCTTGGAGCTTTTGGCAAACGTTGAACCCATCTACAATTTCAGTATCCCCACCAGTAACTGTTTGCTTCATGCAGTGCAGAAGCTGAACCTGGAAATGAGAAAAGGAGATATATGTTTTAAAATGATATGCAAGTACTTTTGAGACACCATGTTAAAGAAAGATTTTTAAATTCTGAATGAACTAAACTGTTTAAAAACTCTGTCTCTTTTCTGGGCTGGGGCGGGGTGGTGGGGCAAGGAACTTTTAGTCACTGCCCCGTGCATTGCAGTTCAAACCTAGTGGCAGACACAGGCATTAGTCAACAAAGGGTCCAGATGTAGAAACTGCGGGAGGTAAGCAGTTCATACCACAGTAGTTTGGGAAGGATTTAAAGTGGAGAAAAAGGAGGATGCTTATGTTTCGCGTAGGTAGAATAAAATGAAATGCAAATCTGATGACAGTGCTAATGAGCTCATTGCGATCCAAAAGTCTGGATCATAAATGGGAGTTGTAGATGAGTTTGGAGAGGAAATCTTGGGTCTCATGATTTGGGTCTTGACTAGCAGGTGGGTGTTTTGAATTTTCTCTTATGTGCAAAGGGAATCACCAAAGGCTTTGGAATATTGTCAGAACTGAGTTCTAGGAATATTATTTCCTTCTTGCGACATGAAATGTATTATATGTGTGAGAGAGAACTGCTGAGATAGTGTAAAGGCCTATTTATTTTTCAGATGTAAAAACATGATAATAAATGATGAAGGTTGCTATCAATGTGAATAAACCCACATTTATCTTACAGATTAGTTTCACAGTTGATCATGGGTGACAGAAAATCTCTGGATCATATTTAGAAAAAATAAAATTGTGTGTCCCATCCTCCCATGCCCCACACAAAAATTCCACTGTCATCACTTAGTTCAGAGAAAGCACGCAGTGTTCCACAATCAACAAAACTACTGAAACCACATGAAGCCAAGTGAACAAATCATAATTTGTTAAACTAGAAAGTAATCAGGGAATTTCCTTTTTAAAGGATATGCTATCCCTATTTTCAGTGCAAAAATGTCTAAGTGAAATAACAAAAATCTCTATCTTGAAAATCCAGTAAGAGTGGAAAATCTAGGCAATCCTCTCATTAATGAAGGGTAAATGGGCCAAAGCCAACTATTATTATTATTATTTTAACATCATGCTGACTGACATTTTCTTGCCAGTAACTTTTCTCTCTGCCCTTGTTATTTCCCATTGTTCTTGCCAACATTAGCTAAACTACTGGTTTAACAAATTATGATTTTATATATGTGATTTATATATGTGAATAAATGGTTTATATATATATATAAATATAGTTATTCAAAAGAAATGAAAATTCTTTACAAATGTAGTGAGACTCTCCTAGGGAGTTTGAAACCCTACCCAGAGGATTGCCCTCTTGGAGGAGAAATTGTATAGATCAGATGGCACGTGGGTTATCCTCTTCCTTCAGTCCACACTCCTATGTGATGCATTAAAAAAAAATTCTCCTGTATAAGGGAGAGTCTATTGCCCTGTCTATTGAATTTGTCCTAGGCTTGTGACTTGCTTTGATCAATAATCATTGCTGATGTGAATTTGGGCTAGCCTAGGCCTTCCAACATTGCTTTGAGTGGTCCATCGCCAGGGAACTGCCAGAGGTTCAGGCTGGATTCAGAAGAAGACATGGAGCAAGAGCTATCATTTCTAATCTCGGAAAGGTCTTGGCTAAAAGCTGAGAATACTAGAAAGATGTTTACATGTGTTTCATTGACTATGCAAAAGCATATGACCGTGTGGGTCATAACAAACTATGGATAGTTTTGAGAAGAATGGGAATTCTAGAACACTTCATGGTTTTCATGTGGAACCTATCCATGGATCAAGAAGGAGATATGATATATGAACAGGACAAGGGAATATTGCATGGTTTAAGATCAGGAAGGGTGGGAGTCCGGGTTGTATCCTGACTTCTTCAGTCTGTATGCTGAGAAAATAATATGAGAAGTTTTATTTTATGAAGAATGTGGCATCAGACTTGGGGGAAGGTGTATTAACAACCTTCAATAGACAGATGACAAAACCTTGCTTGTTGAAAGTGAGGAGGATTTGAAAAACTTGCTGTTGTAGATCAAGGATTACACCCTTCACTACAATTAGATGTAAATAATTAAATAAAACTCCTCGTAATGGGACCAATAAGTAACATCATGATAAATGGAGAGGAAGTTGTAAAAGATTTCGTCTGGCTTGGCTCCAAGATCTGTGCTCATGGAAGCAGCAGTCATGAGCTCCAATGATGGGTTTCACTGGGTAAATCCACAGCACGAGACCGTTGAAAAACATGGATGTTACTTTGAGCACTAGAAACTGTCTGACCCCAGCGTGATATTTTCAGTCATTTCATATGTATGTTGCGAAGCTAAGATTTATTGTGCCAACCTGGACAATAAACACATGTGAGATTAATTGAAGGGTGGAGAGATAAATGGCTCTGTGAGCCTCCCCTGTCTTGTTCTCTGGTCTCTTGCTTTTTGATGGTCAGATCAGGGTGCAGCTGCCTTAGCTAGTTCTCTGCCTCAGCTGGCAAGCCTCACTTCCTGTGAGACATCCCTGAGGAGAAGCCACATGGACCTACCCTGATGCAGCCCTGGGTGCTGGAGCAGCTGTGTGGAGACCCCTCCCAGCGCTGAGATGCTTACACGTTCACTGATTTGGCTTTCCTCCTGCAGTTGGCATCATTACGTGTGTTTTGCAAGTTTGAGGACTTTGTAGATCGGTGTCGGACATATGGGCTAATGTCAGACTTACGGGCTTGGACTGGATTGGGTTGGGGTGCTTTCTTTTTTTGTGTGTGTGGGGGGTGCTTTCTTAAGGTACACTTACCTTTTATATAAAACTCTCCCTTATGTACATATGAGTTTCTGTGGATTTGTTTCTCTAGTCTACCCAGACTGACGCATATGTGAAAGGTAGACACTGAGAAAGGAAAACTGAAGAAAAATCTATCTATATGAACTATGGTGTTGGTGAAGAATACTTCAAGAACCATGGACAGACAAAAGAACAAACCTATCTATCTTGGCAAAAGTACAGCCAGAAGGCCCTGGGAGGCAAGTATGGCTGACTTCATCTCACCTACTTTAGACGTTATCAGGAGAGACCAGTCCCTGGAGAAGGACATCATGCTTGGTAAAGTAGAGGGGCAGAGAAAAGGTGAAAGCTCTCAAGATGGATTGGCAGAGAGGCAGAAACAAATGGGCTCAAACATAACTACTGTGAGGCTACACAAGACCCGGTGGTGTTCTGTTCTGTCATACATACGAGGGTGGCTGGGTAGGAACTGACTAGAGGACACCTAACAACCTCAGGTCTTCAGATATCTCGCAGACTTTGGCTGGATCTCTAGAACAAAGATTTGGTTTTTGCTGGAGCATGCTAGGCTGTGGAGCAGGGAAAACCAGCTCAGCAGAAACCACGTAAGCCAAGGACTCCTCACCCTCTTCTGCAGTTGACTGCAGGCATATGGACTTGGACCAGAAGGACTGCCCTGCTTACTTTAGCCCAAATTGGGAATTCATAAGCTAAGAAAACATTGCTGTTTGAAGTCATTAAGTTAGGAGTATGTGTTTATCATACAATAGCTCATTGATACAAATTATGGCCCGGTGACTTTGTAGGAAAGCCCTACCTCATGATTCTGGATTTTGTTTTCTCGCCACCTCTCCCGGAAGTGTTATTTGTGCTGAGAGACCCCCAGGTGTACTGCTGTTGTGAAATCTTTCTTGGCAAGCCACATGGTACTGATGATTACTTTCAGGCAGAAATAATGGAAAACATATTTTTAAATGTATTAAAAATATATATTTTTAAGCTTTAAAAACCATTTCTTTGTTTCTTCCTGGAAGTAATTCCTGGCACCTTTTGGTTTCCCAAGGGAGAGAAAAATGAAGATTAATGTTTTTCATACCAAAAGAAACAGACTTTGATGTTTACCAGGCTTGGGAGAGCAAGGGAAGGAAGAAGGAACAGTAGACCAGAGGGCAAACAGGTAGGTATTAACTAGAGGGAAGTTTGGGGAAGTTTCTACAAGAGAAAGAAGAGAGGAAAAGGGGAGGGCAGAGCAAGTTTGGGGGGAGGTTTGATATGTTGTTTACATCATTGAATTAAAAAAATGATGATATGTTGTTGTGTTCTCTTTTGCTGTTTTGTGTTACCATGCCTTGTTTTTTGGTGCATATTATTATCTCTTCAGATCTAGATAAGATGGGCTGGATGAACAGTCTGGAGGAGAAAACAACGGAACCGATGGTTCTGAGGGGACATGGGTGAGGGGGAAGCCGGGGAAAGGAGGTGGTGTTGACCAACCCAGGGACAAGGGAACAACAAGTGATCCAAAATTAGTGGCAAGGAGAGCATGAGAGGCTTGGTAGGGATTCAGAAAAGGCAACATAACTGAGAGAAATTACTGGAACCCAAATGAAGGGTGAGCATGATAGTGGGACAAGAGGAAAGTAAAAGGAAATAGATGACAGGGGAAGGGAGTAGAAAGATCCCCAGGGAATGATGAGGGTGGACATTGGAGACAGGGCATGGTGCCCCAACAGGCTGGACTGGAAAACACAAGTTT